ATTAAAATATTTTATTTGCCTTTTTGGAGCCCCCAAAATAATATTAACAGATAGAGGAACAAATTTTATGAGTAATTTAATGAAACGCTTCACTAAACAATTCAAGATTAAACAATATAAAACCACAGCTTTTTATCCACAAGCCAATGGAGCATTAGAAAAATCACATATAGTATTAATAGAATATTTAAAACAATATGTTAATAAATTCACTGAATGGGATGAATTATTAGAATTTGCAACCTTCTCATATAAGATTGGAATTTTCTTTGCCAGTGTATTGAAAATCAAATAAACTTAATTTAGTGACTTATCTGGCATTTATTATATTGGTCACAACATATTTCTTCTCATATAATACAAGCACACATGAATCAACTGGATATACTCTGTATTATTCGCAGGATCGGGTAAGAGAATGGTACTCGCGAATAATAAGAGAAGTACTGTTTATTGCGACTCTCTTCGTGCTTACTCGTACAACGACTGCCTAACCTCCTCCGCCTCCTTGTTCTCCCGCGGATGTCGCTTCCTGCGCGACCTAGCTACCGATGCCGCGTACTCGAACGCGGCCGATTTAAATTGTAGCATTATGCAGCATCTCCCCTTTTTTTCTTGCGGTTGTGAACTCCACCGATGGTTTTACTTTCTCTTCGTTCTTTCAGCTTCCTTGCTCTGCCTTGCTGTTGACGATTCTGAACCACCCAATTTTCCGTAGCTCAGCCGGCTAATTTCCTTACGGTCACGCATAGGATATCTCTTCGCTGGTGTTTGATGATGTGAATCGGCTGCCTCTTCTTCTTTCTTCGAGCTGGGCGATACAGTCTTCTTCTGCTTTTCAACAGGTTGAAATGACTTCGGCTTCTCTGGAGACTGTGATGGAGTATACCATTCTTCCTTCTTTGTTGTATCCTCTCCGATGTGGAAGTATCCAAGGGGTGCACTAAGACGATGCAAGTGGCTTCTATTACGACGGTACACCCCTGAATCCGACTGCACGATGTAGGACCTTGGTTGATTGGCGAGTTCTTTCACAACGCCCCAACGTCGCAGATCTCGAATCCAAACACGATCGCCAGTTTCCAAATTGTCGCGTTCGATCTTGTGATGACGTCTGTCAAAATCTTCCTTTTGGCGACGAATCCTCTCCTCCTCTCTGGATAAGAGTACTTTCCGGTCTATCGTTTTTGGTACTAGTAGAGATGATGCTATGGGGAGGAGAGACTTAATTCTCCGCCCCATGGATAATTCGCTGGGGGAAAAACCGCACTTTAATGGTGTCGCGCGGTATTCCATTAACCATATGCTAAAGTCCTTGGATTTCTCCAATCCACTTTTTACTGTTTTTACCATCACCTCAATAAATCCATTGCTTTGAGGGAAATGAGGCGACGATGTTTCATGCATAAATCCATAACATTTTGTAAAAGCTTGGAATTCCCTTGTACGTAATGGGTCAAATTGTGTTCCGTTGTCGGATCTGATGACCTCTGGAATTCCATGACGGCTAAAGATGTCCTTTAGGCAATTGATGATGGTTGTCGACCGTAAATTTGGTACTTGGTACACCTCTGGATATCGAGAGTAAAAGTCGGCAACTAGCAAATACCAATTCATATTGTGTTTAAACAGATCCATAGCAATCCTTTGCCAGGGTCGATCTGGAAAATTTGATGGCTTTAGCGGCTCAGACCTTCCTGGTCTGCTTTGAACGCATACTGTGCAACTATCGACTAATTGTTGTAATTCCGCTGATAGTTTTGGCCACCAAACACTATTTTTAGCACGGGCGCCGGCATTTTTCAATGCCTTGATGCGCCCCGTGAATGGCTTCTAGAGCTTCTGGACGAAGTTTGGGAGGAATGTAAAATCGCTCGCCAAACATGATGAAACCACGGACTAGGCTCAGGTTTGCACGAAAATTGAAAAATGGTTTCACTAAAACGCTGGTTTCCTTTTTGCCTGGCCATCCATCTTGTATACATTTTGCCAGTTCGCAGCATACCGGGTCTTCTGCTTGCATTTTCAAAAGTCTTGAGAGTATTGTATCTGAAACCGATGATTGTTCTATTACAAATTGCACGTGGGCCGAAATTTCCTCTCCTATGTTCGAATTGCTTGTGGTCTTCAGGGGAAAACGGGACAAGTAGTCAGCGGCCAGGATATCTTTTCCTGCCGTGAAGAAACATTTAAAATCGTAATGCATTAGGCGCATACGCATTCGTTGAAGCCTGGGTGTCAATTCGTCGAGGTTCTTCGTCATTAGCAGCGGAACCAGTGGACGATGATCCGTTTCCAAATAAAAAAATTTGCCATATACGAGATCGTGGAATCTCTCGCATGCCCAGGTGAGGGCTAAAGTTTCCTTTTCTATTTGAGCATGCCGTCGCTCCGTATCCGTCAATGTCCTTGAAATGTAGCTCACAGGTTGAAGTACGCCAGCCTCATTCTCCTGACGAAGCACAGCGCCAATCCCGTATGATGAAGCGTCTGCAGATACCACGGTTCGACGATTAAGGTCGAAAATTGCCAGACAGGGAGAACTGCTTAACATCCTCAGCACTGATTGGAACGCCATCTCGCATTCTGGTGTCCATTTAAAATCCTCTTTATTCCTCAACAAGTTGTAGATTGGAACTAAAGTCTCTGACATCCGTGGCACAAATTTCCCCAGGTAGTTTACCATACCTAAGAAAGATCTGACGCTCGGAACATCCTTCGGTGTTTTCAGTTCAACAATGGCCTGTACCTTCGATGGATCTGGTCTAATTCCGTCAGCTGAAATGTAATGGCCCAGAAACATCGTCTCCTGTACGCAAAACTGGCATTTACTGGCATTCAAAGTAATATTTTTCTCATCCAGACGGCGTAGTACTGCACGAAGTCTAGAATCGTGCTCTTGAATAGTTTCTCCCCACACTAAAATATCATCCGTGTGGTTTGCGACTCCTGTCAACCCCTCCAGGATTCGAGAAATACGCTTCTGGAAGAATTCTGGGGCCGATGAAATTCCGAACGGCAGTCTGCGAAAACAAAACCTACCAAACGGAGTGATAAATGTAGTTAATTTCTTAGAATCCTCGCTTAACATTATCTGCCAAAATCCTGACACACAGTCCAGTTTTGTTATATACTTTGCCCCCGTCAACTGACCTAACGTATGCTCCACGACAGGCATAGGATGATTCTCGCGTTCCACTGCCTGGTTTAACCTTGTCAAGTCGACGCAAATACGAATGTCATTAGTGGCCTGCTTCTTTGCCAAAACAATACCGCAGCACCAGTCTGTTGGTTCGTCTACTGTCTCTATCACTTTCATTTTTAACATTTCGTCCAGCTTCTCCTTCAATTTCGGCATTAACGCTAACGGTACTCGACGCGGTTGAGATAAACAGAACGGTTTTACATTTTCACGTAGTTGGATACGGTACGGCGTTTTTAACAAACCTAAACGGTTAAATAATCTAGGGAATTCCGTAAAGGGTCGTACAGTGCTTTGAACAGACACTTGTGAACAACGCATTACTAATCTTAATCCTACGCATTCGAGTCGGCCTAACAGATTTTATCGAAGTCCTTTTACTACAAACACGTTAGCGTTCTGTACATGATCTCCGTAACAGAGTCTTGCAGTGAACATACCAATGCATTTCAATGCATCGCGAGAAGCGCTTTCTAGATTTCTGTTCCCGGGCAGTAATTTACCGAAAGTTTTCCTATTCTCCGAGTAAACGCGGTCCCAAATTATAGTAACATCTGCCCCCGGATCGAGTTGAAAACTCACTATTACCCCCTCTACCGTCACGTCAGCCAGCCACGGCTTGTCGGCCTGGGCTTGTGACTGGCTCACGGTCGCCACGAAAAATGAGTCTGTACGAGAGTCGTCCTCTACTTGTTGTACGATGGTCTTACACTTATCGGTCTCTAGTTTCCCGGATTTACACGCTCTGGCCCAATGACCAACTTTAGTGCATTTGTTACACTTCGCGCCACGGGCAGGACAAGCTTCCTTAGCGTGCTTCTTGTCGCTCCCACAGCCAAAGCATTTCCATTGAGTTGAGTAAGTCTTCTCCTTACGTACGTTCCTCTTCTTTTGTACCTGGTTCACCACGGTTCCCGCTCCAACCACCTCGGTGCGTAATGATTGATTCTGCTTCTGTACTGCCTCATAATTCCTGGCTACCTCCGCAGCTCTCTTGTAGTCTAACGCGTCGAGGAGCTGTAACCTCTCCGAGAGGTGGCGATCGGCAACACCTACTACAATACGATCACGTATTAACTGTTCCCGGAAGCTTCCATACTCACAGGAATCGGCCAATTTGCACAGGTCCGTAATAAAATCTTCCATGCTCTCCCCTGGGGACTGTACTCGCATGTTGAATTTTGCACGTTCATATATGATGTTCCTCCTTCCATTGAAGAATCCATCGAACCTTTCTTTCACCTTCGTTATGTCCTTCGCCTCGCTTTCATCCAAGCCAAACAAAGTAAAAATAGTTTCTGCTCTCGGACCCATTGCATACAACAGAGAATTCACTTGGTGTTCCGGTTCTTCCACACCCGCCACTATGCAGTAACGGCTAAACCTCGACTTGTACGTGTCCCAATTCTGAGGCTTGTTAAAATCGAATGGCTCGGGCAAAGCCACGCCCGGTCTCACGATCACCGTGTCCGTCATTTTCCATTTGTCCGCGTGCAACGTTTTTAATGTTCACTACGAACTATTATCTGTCTGTGCCTCACTTTTCTTGTCGTGCGATCCTTCCTTTCGGCCTAGGTTCGACGCTGCCACCATGAATTATTCGCAGGATCGGGTAAGAGAATGGTACTCGCGAATAATAAGAGAAGTACTGTTTATTGCGACTCTCTTCGTGCTTACTCGTACAACGACTGCCTAACCTCCTCCGCCTCCTTGTTCTCCCGCGGATGTCGCTTCCTGCGCGACCTAGCTACCGATGCCGCGTACTCGAACGCGGCCGATTTAAATTGTAGCATTATGCAGCATACTCCATACGAGTTGGTATTTGGAAAATTAGCTAGACAACCTTCTAGTGAAATAATTGACGATGAAAAAGAAAGAAAGTATGATGATTATCTAACTGAATTAATGACAAAAATTCATAATTTACAAGAATTAGCACGAGAATGTTTAATTGCATCTAAAATTAAATCAAAATTTTATTACGATAGAAAACTTAACCCTGAAGAATTTCAAATAAATGATGAAGTTTTTCTTTTATGTGAACCCAAAAAGGGAAAATTAGGAGATCAATATTCGGGGCCACATATAATAACTGATATTTTATCTAACGGAAATATTAAGCTTCTTGTTAAAGGAAAATTAAAAATTGTTCATCCCAACAAAGTACGTAAGAAAAAGAAAAATTAATTTTTTTTAACTAATGAAATTTTTAACTGTATTTAAAATATACAGGGTGTCAGATTCGATATGGACGACCCCAAAGATTATAGTAGATTGGGTTAAACTGAGAAGAAAAGTTATATAAAATTTTACAAAATCGTAATTATTATCGCCTGATTCAGAAAAACGTCTGAGCCAATAAGGCCGGACTCGGCAGCATGCAAAATGGTGTGTTTGTTGACATCTCTGAAAAATCGATAGCGAGAGGTGGAGTCACGCAT